AACAACTTGACCCAGTGGAATGTGTCATGTGGCAGTTTCAAAACTGATGGAGAAGAGATAGATTGAGCAAGAAAATGATGAAATCTTTTTCTTACCACTCCAAAAATGACCACATGTGGATGACTCTCAACACAATTACTAATTGATTGGCTCTGTATTTCAGAAATACTGCCTTGAAGACACATGTTTCTAAATTAATGGAGCAGAGGAGACCTTTGTGAAATCTTGTTTTGGGGCCCTGGTATTTTATCACAGTGTGGCAGGGTCTGAGGGTCCTGGGGGCCTCACTCAGCCTCAGGTGAAGCTTGTCTAATATGCGGCATTTGACCTGGGTGACTTCAGTCTCACCTGTCATTTTATCAGCAGTCATCCCCTGTCTCCGTGGCTACAGATGTTTTGGCTCCCTGAGAATACACACTGACTTTGCATATTTGCATTTAATTTTCCTAGCAGAGCCACCTAGAATAATTTATTTCAGTTCTCTTTTTTACCTGCCTGATTCAGTATATATTTAATAAGCAGTTGTTACCATGAGGATTTTGAGCAGAAGCCGCAGAGCGGGGAGAACAGCACAGCACCGCTCCCTCAGGAACCCCTGACGGAGCAGGGAACACAGAAATGTGGCTGGCGTTCGGAGGCAGTCCTTCTTACTCTTGGCACATTAGGGTTGCCTGGGGAATTGAAACATCCCAATGACTGGGCTGTACTCCAGACCAATTAAATTAGAATCCCAGTGGGTAGGACCCAGGCATCAGTATTTTTAAAAGCTCCCTGGGAAATTCCAGTGCATTGCTAAGCTAGAGCAAAACAAACTTCAAAAATGGTGTAGTGGCAGACTGATGAAACACGGTGTGAACCAGGGCACAACCCTACCATTCTGTGTATGCTAATGTTTTTATCCTCTGTCCAACCACATCTCACTCTATAAATACAAAAGATGCAACCGCATGATGACTGTCTGAAACACTGTGGACAATTTGATTGAAAAGCATTTAGAAAGTATGTACGCGTGTGTGTATTTAGAAAGTACATATATGCATATATGTGTGTATATGTATATTTAGGGTTTATTTTATTTTGTATTATTTGTAAGGCAGAGTCAAAGAGAGAAGGAGAGAGAGAGATCTTCCGTCGGTTGGTTCATTCCCTAATTGGTTACAATGCTGGAGCTGAGCTAATTTGAAGCCATGAACTAGGAGCTTCCTCCAGGTCTCCCATGTGAGTTCAGGGGTCCAAGAACTTGAGCCACTTTCCACTGCTTTCCCAAGCTATAAACAGGGAGCTGGATCTGAAGTGGAGTAGCCAGGACGCAATCCAGCACCCAGATGAGATACCTGCTATGCCATGGTGCCAGCCCAGAAAGTGTGCGTGTGTGTATATAATTTATATAATTCATTTTTATTTATTTGAAAGATGGAAAGATCTTCCATCAGCTAGAAGATCCCCTAATACTTGCAATAGCCCAGGCTAAGCCAGGCTGAAACCAGGAGCCTGAACGTCTACCTGGGTATCTGGAACCCAGCTACTTGAGCCATCACCTGCTGTCCCCAGGATGTGCTTACGTAGGAAGCTGAAGGCAGAAGAGGAGCTGGGACTCCAGCTCAATGACTCTGATACAGTATATGGGCATCCCAAGAGGTGACTTAACCGCCACACCAAATATCTGTCCTAAGAACTATATGTTCTGGGAAGTATGGTTAGAAGGAAACCTGTCTCCAATGGGAAAGGGCCCCAAAAATACCAACCCATGAGGTTGAACCCCAGATTCATTCCACATGCTTGTTCTCTTCCCTGAAATGAACTCTCCTATCTTTCTGCAGTCAGAAAGCAAGTCTCTAAGCTCCCAGCTCTAAACCTCACCTTCAGTGTGGAATCTTCTTCCTCCTTTTCCAGGCAAAATTAAGCTACTTTCTCTGCTACTTAGCTCTTGTGTGTGTGTGTGTGTGTGTCTGCTTTTAGTAGTTATAACTATTACCAACCTTGGTTGTAGTTTGGCAGACTGGTTGTATAGTTTGTAAACCTTGCTGAGGTGCCTGGCACCATTTCTTGGTATACTGAGTGCTCTGACAGCACCATAGCAGTGCTAGAGTGAGAAAGTCATACCACCAGCAGGGGGAACCTGGACTCAGGAACTTGGGCTGCCTGGGCCTGTCTCTGAGCACTGGGTCCTCTGCTTCCAGGTGGTGGGGCCAGGGAAATCAAAGGCACGCTCCTCTTGCAGAGCAGGAGGCGGCACCAGCAAAGTCACACGGGCTTCACTTGTGGTCATGAGTGACGAGAGGAAAAAACAACCAGAAAGACACTCATAGGACAAAGTGTAGATATGGAGCAAGGACAAGTGCCTGTGCCACCGACCACAGGCCTGCCTCAAGAATGTTTGGAACAGCTGCTTCTCTGGGAAGATTGCTCATCCGGGGGCAGCTGTTGGGCACAGTGACTGTCATATCATACCTTACCAGAGTGCTTTCGGGTCTCCCGGCTCTGCCCCTCCTTCCAGCTCCCTGCTAACCTGCATCCCAGGAAGCAGTGATGACGCCTCAGTGCTGAGGTCCCTCGCCCATTTGGGGCCTGGTTTGCTGCTTCTGCGGCTTTTGGCGTTGACTTGGCCCAGCTCCAGCTGCTGGGGACATTCAGAAGGTACGAGCAGAGCCTGTCCGTTTCTCTGCCTCTCAAATACAACTTAAAGTTGTTTGCTTGTTTTCAAACTTTAATTTTTTTTAAAAAAAATTTCTAAGTTTTACATTTATAGTGGTGAAACAGCTATTTCAGATTTATAGGAATGAGAAGTTTTCTAGGACAGGGATGATTTTGGGTCCTGGGTCCTGTTTTTAAAGTTGTTACAATTGGCTATCATTTGACTGGCTTACTTGAGGATCTTTTAGTAATCAAAATGTCTAGTTATTTTATAGTTCTCTTTGAGAGCTTAAGTAGGGCTGCTTCATGGTTTTTATTTTTATTTTTTTATTAATTTTTTTAGGTGCCTAAAGATATTAAGCTATTTAATACATTGTCTTGAGTGTCATACTTTGTTGCCTATGGTTTATTCGTGAAGACAATCTATATTAACGCCCCTTTTCCTACCGTAAATTAGTGTGAAAACCCTCAAAGGGGACAATGGATTATTAAGAACTGTTCTTCATTGAGAACTGTTTTTTAATCCTGCTTCTGCACGATGTTTCTCCTTGTATGGTCACAGGGGCCCACCAAGAGGGGATGTCACACATCTTGCTGCTAGTGTGGCATCCTCCTGTGCCCCAGGCCAGATGGGCAGTCAGTGATACGGGGGGCTGCAGCCCCATGTGAGCATCCTCCTTTAAAAAAAAAAGAGGAATAGAGTCAGAGAAAGAACCTCATCCACTGGTTTACTTTCCAAAATATCCTCAACTGCCATGGCTGGGTGAGACCAAAGTCAGGAGCCAAGAACTTAGTCTGAGTCTCCCGGGCACTTGAACCGTTGGCTGGTCCCTACCAGTGCACACATTATTAGCAGAAAGCTGGAATTGGAAGCAAAGACACAGCTTGAACAGAGGCACTCGATATGGTGTGCTGGTAGCCCAAGTCCTGTCTTAGCCGCTGTGCCAGATACCAGTCCACAAAAATGTCTAAGTATTCATATCGATCCTCGTTTCTTACCTTGATAACTGTAGTTAATGTGGTCATAATGGATTCACTTGCTGTGTTTTTTTCAGTTTAATGAATTCAGAGTAAATAAAACCTTTACAACATACCTGTGACCAAAATCACCTGATTTTTAATTGAATGGCCTGCAGTCATGTAATATTTTACCTGTTTAAAAGTTTAGCTTTTGTGCCCGGCGCTGTGGCCTAGCAGCTAAAGTCCTTGCCTTGCATGCGCTGGCATCCCATATGGGCGCCAGTTCTAAACCCATCAGCCCTGCTTCCCATCCAGCTTCCTGCTTGTGGCTTAGGAAAGCAGTGGAGGACGCCCCAAAGCCTTGGGACCCTGTACCCGCATAGGAGACCCAGAAGAAGCTCCTGGCTCCTGGCTTTGGATTGGCGCAGCACCGGCTGTGGCGGTCACTTGGGGAGTGAACCAATGGATGGAAGATCTTCCTCTCTCTCCTTCTCTCTGTATATATCTGACTTTACAATAAAAATAAATTTTTAAAAAATAAATAAAAGTTTAGCTTTTCTCATTGAATAATACCTTAAAAAGCATTAAATAGAGGGTAAACTTTATAATATTCTATGGTAACTGTCACAAGCTTTTTAAAAGTTGCTGAGAGTAATAGTCATACGTTGTTGTTGCTGTCCCTCTGACAGCCCTGAGGTGCCTAGTGATAATCTACATACGTTCCTGAGAGCAAACTGTTCCTCGGTCGGCACGTTGTTTTATGGGGCAAGAAGAACAGATGAGCATCAAGACGCATGTCACTGGTAGCGACATTGTCAGTTCGTGAGCTGCGTCACCTTTTGGAAAAAGCTAACTCTTTTCCGACTCATGTCACAGTGTTGATTGCTCCATGTATTGCCACAAGAAAAATAAAAGAAGCAATAGGAACTCTGCAGGAAGTGAGGCCAGGGTCTTCCCCTGTGGCCAGGCTATCTCCACAGACTCCTGGTAGTGACTCACATGGCTGGCCTCCACGTGTCTCCATCTGCTCAGGCTTCTTCTCCGGCTACCTCAGTGTTTCAGTCTTACTACATTTGGGGACTTCTCATGTACTTGCCCAGAATGCCAGCAGCTTGTTAGCTGGTAACACCCTTACCAAGAGCCTGGATTGCACTTGCCTAACCTTTTGTGATCCTCAGTGAACGAGGCAAGGGCATGTAAAGGAGTGGGCATGGAGGAGAGAGCGAGGCCAGAGTAACTCTGATCTCATTCCAAAAGGGGGAGAAGAAAGAGAGAATGCTTTCTGGATGGTAGTTACCTTTTCTTGCCAGTGCACAAGTCCTGCCTGTTGACAAATAACATCCAATCCGAGTGTCGGGAAAGATTGTTAGCCTTAGTAATCAGTCTGTGTGACACTGTTTTAACAGGAAGCCTCGTTCTTCTTTTCTTATCCAGAACTAAGAGGAAAAAAATGAATATGGTTTTTGCTCACAGAATGGATAACAGCAAGCCAGCTTTGGTCACTCCTACCCTTCTGGTGCCCCTCCACAACCACAGCTCCACCGACACCACCGCCCCTGTGCCAAGCCTCGGCCTGACTCACTCACAGGAGGAGCCCAACTGGATGAGCAATGGAACAGACCTTCGACACGCGCCGAAACCCGGGGAAGTGGCCACGGCCAGCGTTTTCTTTGGGACTCTGTGGTTATTTTCCATCTTTGGCAATTCTCTGGTCTGCCTGGTCATCCATAGGAGCAGAAGGACCCAGTCTACCACGAACTACTTCGTGGTCTCCATGGCCTGCGCTGATCTTCTCATCAGCGTCGCCAGCACGCCATTCGTCCTGCTCCAGCTGGCCACGGGCCGGTGGGCGCTGGGCAGCGCCATGTGCAAGGCCGTGCGGTATTTCCAGTACCTCACGCCAGGGGTGCAGGTCTATGTGCTCCTCTCCATCTGCATAGACCGCTTCTACACCATCGTCTACCCCCTGAGCTTCAAGGTGACCAGAGAGAAAGCCAAGAGAATGATCGCAGCCTCCTGGATCTTCGAGGCAGCCTTTGTGAGCCCAGTGTTGTTCCTCTACGGCTCCAACTGGGACGGCCATTGTAACTACTTCCTGCCTTCCTCTTGGGAAGGAACCGCCTATACTGTTATCCACTTCTTGGTAGGCTTTGTGATTCCATCTGTCCTCATCATCTTATTTTACCAAAAGGTCATAAAGTATATTTGGAGAATAGGCACTGACGGCCGAACAGTGAGGAGGACAATGAACATTGTCCCAAGGACAAAAGTCAAAACTATCAAGATGTTCCTCATTTTAAATCTATTGTTTCTGCTCTCCTGGCTGCCTTTTCATGTAGCTCAGCTGTGGCACCCCCACGAACAAGACTATAAGAAAAGTTCCCTTGTTTTCACAGCTGTCACATGGATATCCTTTAGTTCTTCAGCCTCCAAGCCTACTCTGTATTCAATTTATAATGCCAATTTCAGGCGAGGGATGAAAGAGACTTTTTGCATGTCCTCGATGAAATGTTACCGAAGCAATGCCTATACGATCACCACGAGCTCAAGGATAGCCAAAAAAAACTATGTCGGCATCTCAGAAATCCCTCCCATGGCTAAAACGGTAACCAAAGACTCAATCTATGATTCCTTTGACAGAGAAGCCAAGGAAAAAAAGCTCGCTTGGCCCATTAACTCAAACCCACCAAATACTTTTGTCTAATTTCTCAGAATCCTTTCGATTATTGTTATGCACCAGAGATTAAAAAAGCTTTAACTACAAAAACAGAAGCTATTTACATATGTTTTTCAGTTAGCTGTCTGAGGGAAATGTCTTCGTAAAAATGCTCTTATTGATTGATTTTATTTTTTTGTGGTTGTTATTGTGGTTGCTTTTTGTTTTAAGAAAAACGTCCAGTTGGATCTACAATCAGCAGTCCTTCTAGTATCTTAGTTACATGCATTTAAACAAAATGCTTTCCTAATTTTCATTTATCACTAGGTCTGAAAACGGTGAAGTACACGTATATCATCTTGGGCTAAGGATCCTGCCTAGTTTTATTTTTCTTTCCCTTTTTGAATCTTTGTAACCATGGGCATCAGTGCCAATGAAACCCCCTGTGTCACACATTCATACTTGTGTTTCTTCCACTAAGCAACGTGTAGGAAGAATTGTCGCTGACACTGCCTTCTTTCAAGTAACCACTGGTCGGATCTGCTGTGAAATGCACCGTGTGTACTGGAAGATGTCGGGGCTTGCTGGAGAGTCTCTAAATGGTTTCATTTAAGCAGGGAGCTGGACCCAAAGCAGAGGCAGCCAGGATCAAACTGGCCGTGTGAGATGGCATGCCGGCACTGCAGGCAGCTGCTTCGCTCACTACACCGTAATGCCAACCCTCAGTGATCACAATCCGAGTTCTCAGGGAATGAATGCTTTCAGAGTAGCCTAAATTGCTCTCTCTCTCTTGAATGTCAGGGTTAACCTAGCTATGTCCCCATATATTTAACGTTTCTTTATGGTCAGAGCATCCAGAATGCTCTCCTTTTCCAGAAAAAAACAAAATAATTTATTCATGTCTTTGTTTTTATTTTTGATTTGAAAGACAGAGGTGTTTCATATTGTAGGTCACTCTCCAGATGCTGCTTGCAACATCCCAGGCTGGAGCAGGCTGGAGCAGGCTGGAGCAGGCTGGAGCCAGGCGCCTGGAGTGCCATCCGGGTCCCCGAGTACTTGAGCCAAGCACACCAGTATGAGATGTAGGCCTCTCATGTGGCATCTTCACCAAGGACTAAACCAGACCGTCCCCTCAGGTCCTTACTTCTAGTTTTGTGTTTGTAGAGATAAGTGCAGTACATTATTATTACATAGTCTCCATAATGCGCTGCAGAACCCCAGCTCTTCTTACGCCTAACACTAACTACTCATTAAGCAACATGCCTCTTTCTTGTTTTTATCTTTGCTTAAATGAAGGTGGTGAGACTGAACATCTTGAAGTCAGTATGTGACACCTTCCTATCTGTATCCCATTGAGGCTGTATCCACATTGATCTCCCTTCTTCAAATTATATATGAGCAAATAGGCAGGTACCCTTGCTGTCGAGGCCCAGAAAATGCCAAAGAAGTAACAGATGATACTCCCCTGGGCTCTGCTATTTGAGATCTGATGCTGCCTGGTCCCGCCTCGTGCACCAGGACAGAAGGGCAAAAACTACCTTTTTCTTGCTAGTAGGAACCCTGGTGGGAGGCCATTTTTTTCTATCAGATCCTCCCCCTCATCCTGCAAGACACAGTACCACACCCTGGCCATTCTAGATCCTTTTTTACCTCTGATCTAGAACCAGTACACTTACGAATAAATTATGAATATACTAGAGAGACAGAGATGGAGATTTTCCAGCTGCCTATTTGCTGTCAGTGCAATTGCCAGGGCTGGGCCAGGCTGAGGCCCGGAGCCTGAAGTCAGTCTGGGTCGCTTGAGTGGGTAGCCATCACTTGGCTCACTTGGTGTACAGAACAAGCCAGGATTCAAGCCCAGATAGGACAAGCCAGCAAGCCACATGGCAGCTCAGCTGCAGAAGAACCAGCACATTTAGGAAAAGTTTTAAACAATTAAGAACTTTCAGGTGAAGACCAATGTGCATCCATGCCCTCACTGACCAGATCTGCTGCTTCAGTGATTGCACATACAGTATTCATTAGCAGAAAAAACATCTAGGGAGCTGATTCTATGAGATACTTCCTTCAACTAACAAATTCAAAGGATGAGAAAGAATATTTCACATGCTTCTTTCTCTCTTCCTCTTCACACAGTTGTCCCATCAGCCCATGGCACTCTAAAACAAAATGGGCCAGATACTTATTTTACTTGGCCTTTGAAGAATTTATTTTCATTTCATTAGAAAGGCAGACACACAGAGCTCTGCAGGACTTCAAGCAAGCATTCCCACATAGAATGCCAGATGCCCACCCTGGCCCTTGTTTGGCTTGTTTGTTTGTTTGTTTTAATAAAGCTATTACCTCAGGAGTAGCCTTTTTTTCTTTTAAAGGAATATTTTTTGACATTGGAGTGTAGATGTTCAATTTATTTCTGGTATGTATTTTTTTATGTATGTGTGTGTTTACATACATACACATATATCCCAGTTTAAACTTAAAGCTTTCAGGTTACAACAAGTGGTTGCTGAACCCCATTCTGTCTTTGATCTTTGAGTTTATCCCGGTAGTTAGGAATGCCATGAGACAGCCTGTACAAGCTGTTGCAGAAAACTTAAAATCCCCCAAATAGCAACAGATTAAGAGTATTAGTCATGCCACAATCTAGAGAGCCCTAAAGTTTCATGACCTGTGTTACAAGAGCTGTCTCTAGGTGCTCGCTGTCTTCTTGCTTAAAATTCAGGATTACTCCGTGTGTCACTTGACCCTCAAGTTGCAGCAGACTAGGTGCGAGGTACAGGTTGTTGCAGATTTGCTGCAGCAACACAAGCACCTCACTCACCACCCCTCACATTTACTTGGCAGATGACCAGAGTGAAGCCACAGGGAGACTCCTCACCAGGGGCACGCTGAGGTGCACCATGGATCCGGATTCACATAACCTCTCCCCAGGAAACCAGGAAGGGTGGCAGTGGGGAGCAGGATTCTGAGGGGAGGCCCTTCCACCTGGCTCATGGCTCCCATGGCTCATGTGGGAAACATGGTTTGAGATGGGATTTGAACTCTCCCTTCTCATGAGCTGGAGCGAATGCATCAGTCCCACCAACGTGCTGCTCACAGGCGAGTGATGCGTTCTGCCCCGTGGCATCTCCCTGTGAGCTTTCCGTACCAACTTCACCCTGGGTGCTCACAAGGCCGGGTCTCGCTCAAAGAAGTAGTTTTGCTCGGGAACACTTTCACCAGCTGTGTGAGGGGCAGAGTCGTTTGCCAGATAAGGTTTGGCACGTTTGCCTTCCTGGCTGAGCACGGTCCTTTCCATCGCTCTTCTCTCTCCACCCCCCATGCCTGCTGTCATTCGCTCAAATTCACTTGAAAGCCAACAGCCAAGTTGACTGGGAGTTGCTTGGCCATGGGCAGCTTTGGGGTTAGGCTCCTATGTGAGAACCGATGTGGAAGAGACTGTTGGAGCAGTAGTCATGCTGGGAGACTCGGGCCCAGCCCTTTGCTAAACGTTTAGAAGAGGCAATAAAGGCCGAAAGAGTTGAAGTTAGGGAAAAGGAAAATGTGTTCAAGCAACCTGGTCAACCTTGCAACTTTGCCATTCTGCTTGCTATGGCATCAGTCATTTAGTGAGGAAGGAAAAGCCGCACTGTGTGTGGAAGAGTGTGAAAATATTCAGTTCCCCATTGTTCTTTTAACGTGCTGTTTTCGTGTGGAAAAGAAACCCACCTCAGAGGCCAGGAGTGGAAACGGATTTTTCTCCCGCAGTGTTGCAGAATGACCGCTGGGTGGCACTGTGGCTAGCGGAGAGGGCCCGCTCTCTTCAGGATGCCTGTCACATTGGTGGATTCGGACCAGAATTGGTCTCGTAGCAACAAGACAGTGAAAATTGCTGCGCCCTCAGAAGCAACCAAAGATTAACTAATCAGTCAGTGTGTTCAAAGCACAAAGCGTCTAAACATTGGAGGAGATTCCAAAAGAATGAATGCCCTTTAGAGACGAATCACTAATCCAAATATTATTTTTAACCCATTTTACAAATGTGATAATTAAAAAAAAAAATCCCACAGTACCACCAAACTCTCATTCTTGACACATTATACCTACCAGGGCTTCTCTTTATCATTTAAATTAGAGATTTTATGGGCTCTTGCATAAGAATGTTGTCTAGAGGGTCCTTCCCTTGTACTGAGGGTTAAGGAGGCAGTTAAATTTAGCTTAGATTGATTTTAACTCTTCTCAGTCCTGCTTACTTTTTTTAAAGTATTTATTTTTACTGGAAAGGCAGATTTACAGAAAGAAGCAGAGATGAGAGAAAGATCTTTGATCTGCTGGTTCACTCCCCAAATAGCCACAATGGCTAGAGCTGAGCCGATCTGAAGTCAGGAGTTTCCTCTGGGTCTCCCACGTGGGTGCAGGGGCCAAAAGACTTGGGCCATCCTCTGTTGCTTTCTCAGGCCACAAGCAGGGAGCTGGATGGGAAGTGGAGCAGCCGGGATATGAACTGGTGCCCATGTGGGATCCTGGTACTTGCAGGAGGATTAGCCCCCATAGAGCCACAGTGCCAGCCCTGGCTCCTGTCCTGCTTAATTTTTGAGCCCTGCCAGTCTGAGCCATTCTGGACTTCACCCAACTTAACACTTTATCATTTCTGTGTATTATCTTTCAGAAGGACCCCTCTTTCAAAGTGTTGCCTTATCAATCTCTCCGTTGACCCCAAACGATTTAGATCAGGCTATACAATTTAGATTCAGCTGATATGTGAAGGATGTATGATTTGGGTCCTGCAGAATAATGACCACTAGCAAGTGCTGGGCTCTGCCGTGGCCGTGGCATGTGTATCTGTTTCAGAGTGCTGACGCAGGTCTTGGAGGTTTTTGAATATGAATTTGATATTCATCAGTCAGTAAGGCATCTTTGAGTTACTTAGCATCACATTGACTTGCACTGCTCTGGCCAAAACAGGTGTTCAGCATCACTCCAAAGCATTGTTTCTGGTTTGGTTCTGAGAGTCTAAAGCCTCGAAGCAGAAGGAAAAGTTGGGAACAGGAACTTGAATGGAAGGGAGGTAAGTGGTAGAGCTTTCCCTGTCTGACAATACATCAGAGAAATTTCTAAGAAGGAATGGTCTG